GGCCACACCAGCTGAATATGCCTAATCTAGTCTAAACTTGTAAGCAAAGCAGGGCTGGGCTTAGTTAGCACTTGGATGGGAAACATGTATGAGGATCCTCAACTACTATCTTCATTTAGCCTCAAGGCCTGGAGCCAGGGTTCACAAACAGGCAACCTGGCTCTTGAGATCTTAGCCACAAAATGAGGCTACATCTTATAACGTGATATGATGCCAATAACAGGAACACTCATTTATATTATTATTTACTACTGCAACACAGCAGCTAACACCTCTTGGCCCTCTCTCTATTTAGTCTTGTAATAATATATATGCCATTTAATCTTTTCAACAGCCTTTCCAAAGAGTCTTTCCCTCTCCATTGAAGACTGAAAATTAGAGGGTTTAAGCAGCCTGCTCAAGGTCACAAAGCATGCACATTGTGAGGCTGGGGCTTAGAGACCAGGGCTTTCTGGTCCCAAAGCCCACACTGCCTGTCATTCGCTGAGCAAAATTATTCATATCTCTAGCATCTTACAATGTTCCTCACAGAGACAACCTGAAAGCCAGTTTCTAGTCTCCTAATTGTCATTTGTTTGAAAATCTCTGAATCGGAATCTGTATGATAAAGGGAGTGACAGAGACACCAAGAGTCAGAAGTTGCTCAAGTTTAAGGGGTTTTGTTTGTTCGTGTTATTTTTGATGTTGTTTTTGTTTTTTTGAGACAGGGACTCAGGTAGACTAACATGGCCTCACACTTGCTAAGTAGCAGGGGATGACTGAATTCTTGATCCTCTTCCTCTCCTCCCAAGTGCTGGGATTACATGTAGACTACCACACTTGGCTTAGTTTAGTTTCAATATATAGTTTTTTTCCATAAAGTAGCAGACTAAGAAACACCATAACAGGTTAGTCAGAAAGCTCTGAAAATACGAAGATAGGGAGATAGGGCTCCATTCCTCGTTCCTAGTTTGCAAGAAAGTTATGACAAAATAATCTAATGGGGGTTACTTTTTTTGGTGTGGGGGGTAGATGCTGGCAGGTACACAACAATCTATGGAGGTCAAAGGACAACCTTTTGATGTTGGTCCTTCCCTTTCCACCTTATTTAAGACAAGGTCTGCTCATTGCTGTGATAGGGTAACTGGCTCACAAGTTCCTGAAGATTCTCCCATCTTTGTCTCCCATCTCCCTGTAGGAGCCACTGGGATTGATTACAGATACATGTGATGTTTTTATGTGGATTCTAGTACTCAGAACTCACAGAGATCCGCCTGCCTCTGCCTCCTGAGTGCTGGGACTAAAGGCATGCACCATCACACCCGGCTTTTTTTTTTTTTTTTAAATTATGTGTCTCTGTCTCTCTGTGTGTATGCACACATGCATACAAGTGCCCATAGGCCAGAAGTGTGTCAGATCCTTTGATGCTAGAGTTAAAGGAGATTGTGAGCCACCCACATGAGGGCTAGGAACTGAACTTGGGTCCCCTGGAAAAGCAGCAAGTGCTCTTGACATCTCTCCAGTCTTAACAGCCCCAGTATAAGTGTTCTTAATATCACTGAATATGTAGGAAATGACTAGGGTGTTATCATTTAATAGGGAGGCTGTGTTGTATCCAGCATTTATTTTTAATTTAAAAAAATATATTTTATTTATCTTTATTTTATTATGAATGTATTGCTTGCATGTAGGTGGATGCACCGAAGTTCTGCACTGCCCGCAGAGGTCAGAAGATGGCGTTGGATCCCCTGGAACTGGAGTTACAAATGGTTGTTAATTGCCACGTGGGTGCTGGGAACTGAACCTGGGTCCTCTACAAGAGCAGCCAATTCTCTTAACTGCTGAGCCTTCTCTCCAGCCCCCTTATTTTTAACTTGATTACAGAACACCAGAGAGACTGGTCCCAAAGAAGAAAGATCTCACTGTCACTTCTGTCTGTAGATACTGGTACACTTTTAGTAAAATTTTACAGAAAATTCTCTACCTTGACAACTTATAAATCTTTTGTTGCATTTTATGATAAACTGCATTCTAGAGTGAATGTTTATTTCATTTATTTAATCTCTATGAAGGGCAATGAAAAGAATTTAGGATTTATTAACAATCGATTGACAACAATGTTAGGGTTTGGGCTCCTGGGTTCAGATTCCAGCTAAGATTTATGAGTTGACCCTGGAAAGTGACTTGCCTTTCCTGACATATCTTCCTCCTCTATAAAACAAGGGACAGTAACAAGATTCAACTCAACCTTGACATAGTAATTCAGTAACCTCTACCAATCAGGGTATCTAATAAATGATTAGTGTATTATTCAGGGTTCTCCAAAGAAACAGAACCGGTGGAATGGCTATATATGTATAGAGATTTATCAGCTTTTCTCACAGGATAGAGTCTGAGTAGTCCAACAATGGCTGCACCACACTGGAAAGGCTGAGAATCCATAGTCATTCAGTCCATGAGGCTGGATGTCTCAGTAGTCCCAATCTGGTGCTGAAGGTCTGACGAATTCCAAAAGATCAGCCAGTCTTCAGTCTACAGCAGCAAGATGAACTCACCAGCGAAAGAGAAGGCAAGCAGCAAGAAGCCAGGCATTCTCCTCTCCCTTAGCCTTTTATATGGGCTGCCATCAGAAGGTAACACCCACATTTAAGGTGTGTCTTCCAGCTTCAGATGATCCAATCAAGAAGATCTCTCTCATTTCAGTTAATCCCAGATCCAGTGAAGTTGACACCCAGGATTAGCAATCACAATTAGCAACCAATAAATACCTATTGTTAGCTTTAAAAGAAAATAATGAAAAGAACACATATCTTTGCAAGACCTTCATCTACAAATGTTAGAAGTTATCCCAAAGAAGTGTTCTGGGGAAAATAATGTGGTGGGAAAAAAATCCCCTTAATACTAAAAAAAAAAAAATAGGGGCTGGAAAGATGGCTCACTGGCTTCTCTTAACCAGCATTTTATTTTTAATTTCTTTAAAAAACTTTATTTGTATTTTATTATGAGTATATTGCTTGCATGTAGGTAGATGCAAGAAGACCTGGTTCGAATCCCAGTACCCACATGGCAACTAACAACCACTCATAATTCCAGTTCCAGGGAATCTGACGCCCTCTTCTCACCTCCACAGGCATGGCACGACATGGGTGCACTTACATACCTGCAGCAATACACTCATACACATAAAATAAAAATTAAAAATATTTTTAAGAACTTCCAAAATAACAAATGTGCTGAAATTCATAGAAAGATTGCCTAAAAACAAGGAAACTATGTGAGCTACAATGACACCAACTGTCCCTTTTAAAGGCCCCAAAGTTAGTTCTAAACATTCCAGCAACCAAAAGCAGAGGCACCCAGGCCACCTAAGGTTAAGCACATATTAAGTTTCTTTTTCCTAGCGCTAATTTCACAAGCAATTTGAAGGAATAAATTTACTTGAAAAGTGAGATCTGAATATTAATGACTACAAAGTAAATGGCAGGCAGAAAGAGTCTAGCAACACTGATCGACTTAAAGAAAAAAAAAAAAAGCCAGTCCTCTCCGTTTTCCTCTACCTCTTTCTCCGTACCTCTGTACTAGGGATGGAACCCAGGGTCTTTTGCATGTTAGACAAGTGTATACCTCTGAGATACACTCCTGGCCTCTATTCATACTTTTCATCAAATATTCACCCTATGATTGGCCAAGCACAGTTCAACCAGGCTGTTAGAAACACAAAGTCTAGGGTGGAGGTCAGTGGTAGAGAACAGGCAGCATGTGCAAGCCCTATGTTCACAACAAGAATTCATCCTTAATCATCGTGATCTTAATCATCATGACCCTTTATCCCACCTCTCAGACCCCCACTCTGACCTCCATCCCCGCCCAGTAGAGAGTAGCTGACTATTGTGCATTTTTTATGTTCCAAACACGAGTTTTCGAAATGCTCTAAACCTTATAAGGCAGCCAGAGTTAGAGAGGAGTGACACTGCTTCCGTGCTCCTTTCTCAAGTGCTGCTTTTTGATAAAAAGGTAAGAAGAGCTAGAGGCTACAGAAGCATACTAGCTCTGGGACAGACCCCTCCAGAGCCTCAAGATCTACCACCGAATACTCCTGGACTATAGTATGCTCATCTCTTCAAGCCAGCTGAAAAATGGTTCCACAGAGACCCTGGAAGTGCTCTCCACACTCCTCTCTTAAACATGATCCTGATCTTCCCATGTTCAGGTCCCTAGTTAATTAAGAACCTCCAGATCCTGACCTTTCCCTGTTCAGCTTTCCCTAGTTAATTTCCAGATCCTGTCTTTCAAATGAGGAAAAGGCCCTCAGCATCACTTGATGGCAAATATCAAGCATCATCCTTTTGTTTTCACTTCGAGTTTTGTCAAGTTGATTTAAATATAGAAAATATGATTTAAATAATTTCTTTATTAAGAATCTTATGAAATTGACTTGATTTCTGGCAAAGAGAAAAGCAAATATGAGACAGAGTTTTCTTCTATTAAAAGGAACAGTTATGTAACCAACCCACACTGAAGAGCCAAGCTAAAGTCAATATGATGAAGACAGATGGCCTGAGATATATTTCAATTGATAGAGCATTGGCCAGGCATGCACAAAGCCCTGGGTCAATTCTCAGCACCACATAAAATCATGCATGATGGTATACACCTGTAATCCTAGCCCTCGATGAGGACCATCAGAAGTTCAACGTCATCCTTGACTACATAGTGAGTTCTAGGCCAGTGTGGGATACAGTATAAGACCCTTTCTCAAAAACAAGCAAACCAGGGGCTGGAGAGATGGCTCAGCACGTAAGAGCACTGGTGGCTAACTGCCATCTGTAACTCCAGTTCCAAGGGATCCAATAACTTCTTCTGACCTCCTCAGGCAGTGTATAACATGGGTGCACTCACATGTAGGCAATACACTCACACACATAAAATAAAAAATAAATAAAAATTTTCAAAAACAAACCAAAAATGAATGACAGAGGCTCCTCTGTCAAGAGGGCAGGAAGGATGGAGTGTAGACCTACTTCTCATACAGCCTCTGTCCTCTCATGAAGGCCTTCACCTCGTTGTCCAGTGGGAAGGTACCATCATCCTTTCTAAATCGGTAGAAGAGTTTGACATCCTTGAATTCCTTGTGTTCATCACACACTGAAACACAATAAACGGAGAGGCAAATGAAAAAAGTCATTATAATGTAACTACTCAAGGAGACAGAGGATGCTAATTAAAACACATTTCACTACCTAATGAACAAATATCTACCATATGGGCAATACATGTAGTGTTTAGCACAGGGCCTAGTTCAGAGTATTGCTCAGTATTATAAGCTATGACTATCACCATCATCACACACTAAGAAGCTCATAAACTTCATTTCACTGTTTATTCCACAAACTCTTCATGAGCATGATATTGGGACAGCATAAGCCTCAAAGTATGTGAATCTAAGCCAGGTATAGTGGCACATGCATGAAATTCCTGCATTTAGGAGACTGAGGCAGCAGAATCCCATGTCCTAGGCCAAACACCCTGTGTTAAAAAAGATTGAGCTGGGCGTGGTGGCGCACACCTTTGATCCCAGCACTCAGAAGGCAGAGGCAGGCAGATCTCTGTGAGTTCAAGGCCAGCCTGGTCTACATAGTGAGTTCCAGGACAGCTGGGGCTACAGGGAGACCCTGTCTCAAAAAGCCAAAAAAAAAAAAAAAAAAAAAAAAAGAAGAAGATTGGGCTGGAAAGATGACTCAGTGCTTAACAGTGCATACTGTAGCAGGGCGTGGTGACCCGTGCCTTTACCAGCACTCAGGAGGTAGAGGCAGGCAAATTTCTCCAAGATGGAAGCCAGCCTGGTCTACACAGAGAGTTCCAGGCCAGCTGGGGCTACAGGGAAACCTTGTCTTAAACAACAACAGCAACAAGGCACCCTGCTTTGACACTGGACCCAAGGTCAGTTCCTGCTGGCACCCACATTGGGCTGCTCATAGCTGTCTATAACTCCAGCTCCAGAGGATCTGATGCCTTCTGGCCTCCAAGGACACTCGCACATACATGCACATGGTCACACACAGTGTGTACACATAAGGAAAAATAAAAATAATTTTTTGTCTTTTTTTTTTGAGACAAGGTTTCCCTGTAGCCCCAGCTGCCCTAGAACTCACTATGTAGACCAGGCTGGCCTTGAAATCACAGAGATCCGCCTGCCTCTGCCTCCCAAGGGCTGGGATTAAAGGCATGCACCACTACACCCAGCTAAAATAAAATATATTTTTTAATAAAGTGTAGTGGAATAAAGAGAAAAGTAGGCATGTAACTAAAATGCTGTGCTAGGGCTCTGGAGACGTAAAGGAGTAAGCAGTGGAGAGCATAAAGGAGTCCTCAGAACCCAGCTGCAGGAAATGGAAGCTTCTCTGAAGAATTATATGTAGGTAGAAACCTGAACAACGAGTAGAAATTGGACAAAAATAAGGAAAAATGGCCTCCTAGGGTAAAAGAACAGAAGCATATGCAAAAGTCTAGGCCAACGTCAGAGATCTCCAGGATACATGCTCATGACTGGTCACTGAACTATTGACAGTAACAGCAAACACTTGTAAATAATCTAAATGTCCATCCACAGAATAAAGCTACAATGGCATCATATACATGGCACACTATACAGGTAACAGCAAAAATAAATAACCAAAGATACAGATCATGAGGGAGAGAAGAGAGCTTAAAGGAAGAGGGGAATGGAGAGGATCCTGGGATACATATGGTAAGAAAGCAGAAGGGGGGGGGGGTTAGACAATGCGAGAGACAAATAATGCCTAGCTGGTTTTAAAAGCCAAAGGGAACCATATTAGTCCAACAACCTACTGAGAAATTATACATACCAGATCAAGAAATATATGTCTAGGTAAGGTTTATCTGAGAGCAATTGGTCTTTGCCCAAGATTTATCTACATGACACACAGTAATTAAAAGTACCAGACTGGTGGAACTAACCTTCTTGGATGTTTAACAGACATACTTTGAGGCCTATACTAATTTGGTCAGAGGGACATAAAGGACAGTTTTTGCTCCTTGCCCTCCTAGGTTGACTGGTTCCAGGAGACTATGAGTATCTCCCAAAATGTCCTGTAACTGTGGTGGGTCACCTGAACTCTTGATCAAGGAGGCCGAGGCGACCCCACAAGATGGACATGAACCAGTTTCCAGTCTACAAAGAGGAGGGTCAACACAGAGGAAACATTTCTTCCATGCTTCCAAGCAAAGCCAGCCATGGTTGAGCAGGACCTTTGACTTATCTTCACATAGGTGGAACTGGTAAAAGAAAGGAGCCAGGGGCTCCTCCCAAGCCCACGTGACCCCTGAGGAACAGATCCTCAAACAATCTTAAGAGTAAAAATAAATTGGTTTATCTGGGCCAACTCTATGGCTTTAAACACCCAAAAAGGAAAGTATAACCAAAAATTAATGGGGCCAATACAATTTTTTAAGAGTCCAAATGTATAGCTAAAGGCTACATAGCAAGCAACAATGCCAGATAGGAGATACCTTCTTTTGAGTTGTTGGCCAGGGTGGCCCAAGGGACTCCCAGATAGAAACCAGCATAGAACTGGGAAAATAAACAGCAGACCCCAATCTTATCTAAAGGACTATTGACAACTGATTGCTGCTAGATGAGGAACAGCTGACCCTCCTAAAACAAAGACCTCTAGATAAGCTGACTAGGTTCATCAGATGGACAAGCAGTGGGGAATGGCTGGGGGTGCTGACAACACAGCAGACAGTAGCAGGGATAACAGAGTATAAGGGCTTTAGTGGGGGGAGGGAGGCTATGGGAGGGTGTCATCTGGGAACTGGGTATATAGCTGAATAAGATGATATGGGATGTTCTGTGTGATATACACACACAGAAAAAAATGAACAAATTTTAAAAAATCTATTATATTTGAGGAGGAAGCATAAATGTTTATGTCACGTCAATTAGTAGAAGTGATGAACATTACGATTGAAATCTACACAATTATGACTGGTAATAATTAGAAACATACAGATTAGAGACCCATGCACCAACATCTCAGTGTTAGTAGCAAAAACAATGAGTCTTTCTGTAAGAAACAGTATATTTTAGAATGAAATAGAGATCTTTTTTCAGGGTTAAAAACTCATTCAATTTTATGTCTTACAGGGCTTATACTGAGTTCAATATAGTATAACTGTATTAGTTCAACTGTAAACCTAAAAATTTGCAGCCACTTTTGAAAGAGATGCATCTTTGCTCTGGAGTATGTAACTGAGTATGTTAAAGCTGTAACGAAATACTTCTTCTAATCATGTGGTTATTAAATTTAAAAAAAAAATTAAAAAAAGCTCACCCAGAGACTGGGAGAAAATACTCGTCAAATATATCTGATAATACTTATCAAAAATATAAAAAGGAAGTACTTGAGAAGCAGAGGCAGGTGGATCTCCAGTCTGGTCGACATGCTGAGTTCCAGGCCTGCTGGGGCTACAGGGAGACCCTGTCTCAAAAAGTGTTTGTGTGTGTGTGTGTGTGTGTGTGGGTGTGTGTGTGTGT